TTTACACCGTTGTTGTTATTGTTGTTGTTGTTGTTGTTGTTGTTGCTGTCGTCTTTGTTGTGTTAGTCTTACATTGAAAACCGTTCCGGTCTCCGCTCAGCACCTTCGAACACCCTTAACGGTTCCAACTGACGCGTACACCTCCCGTGGCCACAAGCCAACTACCCAAGAAGGGTTACCGCAAAGGTTCCGTTATAGTCCACGGCGCCAAGACAAAAACGCACGCTGCGCGCGCCGGCAGCAAAAAAGAAGCACGCGATGCATAGAACGGCGTGTGCGTGGGGTGTCACGAAGACCGCGCTCGCCGCACACCTGGGGGCGATTTCGTTAAGCAGAACGCCTCCGTCCCCCATCAGGAACAGCTCCACCCCGAAAGCCCCGGCCCCCCACAGCGACTCCACCGCCTTCCGGGCCGCCGCCGCGGCTTGCGCCGCCGATTCCGGCGAGACTCGGGCCGGGGCGAGCGTGGTGTGGCAGACGTTGTCCACCTGGACGGTCTCGACGACGGGGTAAGTGCGAAGCTCGCCGTCCTCGCCGCGGATTACCTGCGGGAGATGGTGGCGATGGAAAAGAACGTGTGACTCACAGCTGCCGGTGTGTGGTCAGGTTGTGAGACCTCTCTCTCTCTCTCTCTCTCTCTCTCTCTCTCTCTCTCTCTCTCTCGTGGACGTATGCGTTTGGGGCCACTCTCTGCCTGCGTGTCTGTTTGCCTGTCTTTCTCTTTGCTTTCTTTCGATACATACGGTTTGTGTGCCGTGGCTCTCCCTACAAATCGTTGTGTATGTCCATTTTGTGTTTCTCTCTCTTTTGTGTCTCCCTTTCTTCTCGCTCGTCTCTCTTCTCTGCCATCGTACATGTACTATTCAACGCCAGCCTATCATCAGCAACTCTCTCTGCCTCGCTCACCGTCTCTCGCACCCCCCCCTCCTCCCCTCTTCTCACCATGACCGCCAGCTCCTTGTTAAACTCCGCCCAAGCTTCCGCGTACAGCCCCTTCCCGCCCAGCATTAAAAATGCCTCAGCCACACACCCCTGTGAACTCCCCCCGGAAGGGGGGCGCGAGGTTGGTTGCACGGCTCGAAAATCTTCGCGAGATTGGACAACCGTCAACAACAGCAGCAGACACAACACGCTTGGTACGTACTCTACCCAGCTCATTCGTATCTACTACAACGGGTGGGTGAGGCGCCTGTGGCAGACGCTGATAACTGTTGCGGGAGGGAAGACGAGGGCCTCGACATGGTTCGGGAATCTTATTTCTCATGAACGGGATCCGAAAAAACAGGAAAACAATAATTTGCCTTTACATATCGAGTGCAAACAGCAAACAATGGCTGAAACTGCCTCTATGACCGAGCGAGCCACTGCCAAGATCCATCTACGCACCTCGTCCTTCACGACGGCGTTCCCCTTCCCGTCGTAGGCCATCCTCTTGGCCTTGAGCATCAGGGGATAGCCGAACAACGTCCCCGCTTCCCGCACGGACGCCTCGGTGGGCGTGTCCATGTATCGAGGCATCGGTACGCCGTGCTGAAAGTTTGTACCACAGGTCCCATGCGAAAGGAAGTCACGCGGCGAAGAAAGCGAGAAAAGAGGGGGAGGGAGGGGTGTACTCATAGTCGTGTCGTGCATGCCGTAGTCGTTAGACCATTGACCTCGCATCCCTACAAAGCCGGGACGGAGCACGCCGGGTCTCACCGGACCAGGCTCTCACATCACCAAGCGCGAAGCGCCGTGAGATATTCGGCGAGTCGCATGAAGGGTGCGCTGCATCCTGCCAAGGGTGTTCGGCATCTTGTGCTTACTTCCTTGCGTACGGATGACAGCTGCGTATGACTTATTTTATTTCCTGGTGCTTTCGCTTCCAGAGACAGTTGAAAGCACTGTGTAACTGCCTCGAGGGCGCTTGACAATTTTTACACAACGTGGTGCGATCATCCCCCTTGCCCGGAGTGAAGGTTCTTCGACCCCGCACAACATGATCTACTCGACCACCATTATGGTTACCGCAAAAAAAAAAAGACAGAGGTAAAAAAAAACAAAACGGTAACCTGGTTGCCGAGCTCACGAAGTGAATTGGCTTGTTTTACAACGT